TTATTTTAAAAATTCGTCGGATAAACGTATCACTATCAACTTTTTTATATAAAAAAACACCTAAGATTAACACAATAAAACTCTTTAAAAAATGAAATATTAAAATAAATTACACAACTAAGTATATGGACATTGGACGACAAGTAAAATGTGGGATGTTGGTGGAGATGACTTTGGAAGCATTGAGGATATATGAGTATTTGAGTTCGTCAACCTTTTCATAGATGAACCAGAACTGGAGGTTGTCTTTTTGGATGACAGTGTTACCCTTGAAAATTAGTAGCTCTAACTAGTGGAAATATGTACTTTTAGTTTTTTATTAGAGTGTTGTTTTCTTTCTCTATTATCCAAGAACTTTGAATCCTTGAACTTTTAATTTCAAAATTGTGTTTATTTGACTCAATTCTTATTTTAAATTGATGACTTATTGATTATATTTATATTTCGAGATACACTAGTGCATATGAGATAAAGAATGAATTTATTTCTAACTATCTTGATAATGTGAAATGTTTCAATGTCATGAACGTGCGGGCAGATGTCAGATGATAATATGTGTATATATTTTCAAAAAAGCTTGTAATTTTTAGTATTTATAAATACACCCCACAATTTTTAATATTTATAAATACACCCCACAATTTTTAATATTTATAAATACACCTCATAACTTTTAAATTTATAAATATGCCCCTGTATCTGTATCCCACTTTTTTTGTTTTGTCGTATCCCCATTCCTATTTCCACGTTTTAGCGAACGTGTATCGATGCTACATAGTTAATGACCTTTCATTTTCCCAAGACAACATACGCAGTACGTATGTAGTATATAAATAACAGATTCTTCATACCTGAAGCATCTGAAATCCTCGCTGCTATCCATAGTAATGAAGGTGTTGCGAATATGATACTTCCCCGTACTTAAAAGGTCAGAAAACCGGTCTAATTTTATAACTCATGGGTCATCTGGTGCTGAAAGAAATATAAAACCTTCCGTTGTTTAATTTTTTTCGTTCAATCTCAACCCACATTTTACTCTGAAAAAATATATGTTCAGTTTCTATTTTTGAAAAAATTAAGTGTACAATTTATATTCATAGTCAGTGCAAGGTTCCTCTTAGTAGAGTTTAAACCCATTCACAAAATAAAAAACAAAAGCTAATATTTGGTAAAGATATGGTATGAGATCTTCAACGAGCTATTCAAGTTGACTATTGATTTTCATCTTATATTTCAGGGCCTAAGCGTAAGATTTCATACCATTTTGCCCCTAAACCTGGGAGTTCTTATATAAAATCTTTCACTAAATGGGTTTTTGTTCTTCTTTAATTTGAAATAATAGAATTATTTGAATTCTATTACACTAATGATTAAACTAATATTTTACCAAAGCAGGCTTCTATAAATATCAATTATAGACAGGGGCATGCAACATTCATAATACACACACACACATATATACATACACACACACATATATATAGAGAGAGAGAGCAGAGAAAAATATATAAAAAGATAAATGAACCTGTACAGTACCCAATTAGGAAGAGTGAAACCTTAAAAAGATGATTTTCATACACTGTCTAATATATAGAGAAATGATGGGCAAGAAAAAACAGGGGTAAGTAATAGAGGAAATCTACATGACTATATCTCATATTATTAAGGTTAAAAACAATAATGTCATACACATACTATCTATATATCCCCCGTCCACTTTCTCACTAGCACAAGAGGAAATATACACTTTTTTATCTAAAGATTAATAATTTTATATACAAGTCTTCTAGGTGTGTAATAATAGTGTGATACTATAATGTGTCACCTGTATTAATAAATATTTTTTTTTCATTTACCCCAGTGCCACAAAGGCTCCCACCTACGGTGGGGTAAGGGGGGGTCGGATGTACGCAGTCTTACCCCTGTACTAAAGCACAGAGAGACTGTTTCCGGATGACCCATAGTGAAAATCCCATCCAAAATTGCATGGACTGACTGCTGCTTCATAACAAAGAAGCGCAGACAATTTAGTGAGCCATTTTGCTTTATTCCATCACAATCTCAAGCCAAAAAATAATGAATCTTTGGCTCCATTGCAAATGATGGAAATATATTAATAAATATAATATATTAAATATTTGATCTAATTAATAATAAACTGATCTCTCTGAATTTATAAAAAAAATATATACAAATGTCATGAAAAGTTGAAAATTTATTAAAGTAATACTCCGTATAATATTGTGTTATGTGTGTGTCTATATATGTGTTTATAGACACACCACATATAATGTTACTATATTCCAAATAGCTTAGTGTGTAGATAAAAAGATAGACCCATGTGTCTTCATAGCTCAGTTTAAAGGCTTATTGAAATAAATCTGGAATTGAGAACAAGTAAAATTAACTTCTAAGGTAAGAATGTTTAATAAAACAATTGTGAAAAATATAGATATTTTGTAAATAAAAATATAAAATTTCAAAATTGTTTTCTCCATGAATTTGACCAAGGTCAGGACTGTGAAACACAAAAAAGAAAAAAACAAATAAAGGAAAAGAAAGTATTCCTCATTTGACATGTAATCCTCCTGCAAGGACCATTTTAGTTTAGTTTTTAGAAATTACTCCAAATAGGACTAAAACTATGGCAAAAACTCAAAATAGGACTTACTATGTTTTTCTTTTCAAAATAGGACCATATTAGTCCTATTGGAAACATACCTATTTTTTCATTCCATTCTTACCCTTCCTTTAAATATGAGTTAATTAAATGTTTAATTCATAATAAATTCGAAAAAAAAATCAACAATTCGTAGAAAAATATTTAAAAAAATTTATAAAATATTTATAAAATTAAAAATTAAAAAAAAAAAAATTTTAATTTTTTATTTTTTAAAATTAATAAAAAATAGTAAAACTCCATGAAAAATTTTAAAAAAATGGATGCCTTTCCCACCGCCTGTACTACCTCCCTGCACCACCATCTCCGGCAGGTGAAAAAAATGCCATTTTTCCTAAAAACTGCCATTTTTCTGAAAATGCCAAAAACATGGCATATTTCTCTTTGAGAATGCCAACATTTTCATTGTTTTCTGCCATATATATGGAATTCGTAATGAACTAGGCATTTTTTTCCCTGGTGACTGGAGGTGGTGGTGCAGAGGCGGCATAGGCGGCCGTAAATTTTATTTTATTTTTTTGAGATTTTTTTTTAATTTTTTTTTATTTTTTGAAAATAAATAAATAAACTATTATTATTATCAAAATATTTTTATTAATTTTTTAGTATTTTTTACGAATTTTTATTATTTTTTATTATTTTATTATGAATTAAAACATTTCAATAGCTATAAGGGTATACTTGTCCAAGACACACATAATTAGTCCTATGAAAACATAGTTTATTTTTTGGTCCTATTTGTGCAAAGTGAGTGACTTTTAGTCGTATTTTGATAATTAACCCTTTATTTTTTCACATAAGATCCATACATGATAAATTCCCAGAATTCATATTTTATAGCAAAGTAATTGTTAAAAAGTAACAGGCAATACCTGATGAAGTTTTATATTTAATATAAATGTGTTTTTTAGAAAGCAGCAAACCACTCCTTTGCTTTTAAATTTACGGTGCGTTTGTATTCAACCTTCTATACCGAGCTTTCAGATCAACATGTTGTTTTTGCTCTTGATCTGCTCAGTGTAACTAACGGAGAAGAATATGAAGATGGAAGAGGAAGAAGATGAGATGTGGGAAGAAATCAGTGTGGCCCGTAATTGAAGAAGAAAGGATTTCCTCCAGCTCAAACCTAGCCCTGTTTTGTTGATATTGCTAATAAAATGGGCACACTTACTTGATAGGTCGTATTGTGTAATAAATGGCACAAGTGTACCAATGTAATTTGTGCTCAGGAATAAAAAAGCTCTATAATACTATAAGTTAGCTGAGAAGATTAATAGTTTAATCCAATACAACAACATCCAAGCCTTAATCCCAAAAGATTTTGGGGTCGCCTAACATGAATCCAACCATGATATCAGTGCCAAAAAGAGAAGTCAGAAAAGAAGAAAAACAAGAAAAAGAAGTAAGATAAAACGGATAAGATATAAATAAATATAAGATAACAAGATAAAAGAGCATAAAAAGCTAGAAGATAAAATAACATAAGAATATAAAAAGATAAAGAAGAAAATAATTTAATCCAATGTTTTAATAAAATAACTTTGTAATAATTATTTACAATGACTTTATCATTCTGCTTTTAAGTATATATTTTGAAGTTTTAGCACTACACATTTAAGGGTGAAATATAATGGCATAGGTGTTCCTAATCATTACTTGTCATTCGTTATGGTCATGCTTTCGTGCAATCCATATATTCTTATTGGTGTATGCAAGGAAAAAAATACACAATAACAAGAGATGTTGACTACGCTTTGGAGGTAAGAGTTAAAATTGATAGAAGTATAGGTCAAAAAGTGGTAATTTTGAAGTCATAATTGAGCGGTCTAAACTTATATTCAAATCTCAAATAATACACTTTGCTATAAGGACTACTTATACACGGGCTATATTGGATCTCAAAACTTACATTTCAAATAAAAACAATAAGTCTACTTATTTGGCCTAACTTTTGTGAACAAAAGTGTCTTAAAAAATGTAGAATACATATTCGATATTGAAAAGATTAGACAAGTAACTAGTGTTTTCTAGCCTTTACATTTCGTTTGTCATCATCCTTTTCCCTCACGCATTTAAATGTCATACGTTAAATGTCTACATTCTTGATTGAGATGAGACTCAAACCTATGACCTCATCTTTAGGAGGGTCACGGTGATGCCATCAGATCGCAAGATATTTAAAGTTCAGTTTTTGACTATGTTTTATGAAAACAGACTTCTCATATTTTACAAAGTAAATTTCAATCCGTGCAACCGACAGGTGAACTACTAGTAAGGAATATAAAAGCCAACAACATAGTAATAAAGACTAAAAAATTACCTTCCCTGTTACTGATGTTTGGTACTCATCAAGTGTCTCAGGGGCTGAAAACAGGCAAAGAGCGTCTTGGATAGTATGTACAGCTTCATGGAAGATATCAAGGTGGAGTAAAAGGAATGGTTGAACGGTAGCAGAGTCCCTATTTCCTGTCACAGATATATGCAAATGGGGATTAAATGCGCAATAACGCAAAAAGCAGATACCGATGTGTCATTTTTTCAGATTATTGAACATACTTACCCTTGGCCTTCACAACACTCCGTAGTTGCCCTCCAAACACTGTACTGAGTTGCGAAGGAACAAGGGTTTGCATTCTTGTTACAGCAGATTTGTTCTTTGGGCCAACTGTTTCCCACCCATCATCTTCCTCTGAAGAAACAAGAGATGGTTTTCCTCCATCTAAATTTTTTTGACCATCAAGAGTGAGTAATTCATCATGCATTTGATGCATGATAAAACTTAGAAACTCTTGTGCATCTTCTTGCCTGGCAAGTTTTAAATCATCACTAAACATTAACTTATTGACTTTACTTACATTGCAAACTAGAAGAAATTGCATCAAAACCCTAAGACACGCAAAAACAACACATGAAAAATGTGTTGAAGGCTATTATTATTTCTTATTATTTTAATATTATTGTTGCTATATTTACGGATGCTTCTAGCTGGTTAATTAGAAGAGGAGTCTGACTTGTATACGGCAACATGGGTTTTCAAGTGGGAATGTAACAAGAAAACCTGCGCCTATTTATTTAGCAAATAACAGAGTGTGAGATCGACTTTTTCCCTGCATTACTTTTCTTCCGTTTCAACTTTTAGAAAGAAAACAATTAGAAAATCTTAAAACAAACATGTTTGGGTATCCAAATATAAGCCAAGGATCTATCAATAATTTCATGCTAAATATATGGGAGAGAGAAATAGATATTGAAAAGCATTTTTTTTTTTGAAAATATCATTAATTTGAGAATGTCTATTGGCTGTACAAAATTAAAGAAAACTTGAAAGACAACATTGAGAAATTGAGAATGACATAATACCAATAATACGCACCGTGGCCTGCCTGAGAAGGTAGCTGGGACATCAGGGGTAAATTTCCTCAGAACCATTTCGAACATAGTAGGACAAAATGGCTTGCCAATTTCAATGCTAGACGCATCTTTCTTTGTAGAAAGTGAAGAGCTAGGAACTGCAAACTGAGCAATAAATCCAGAAAATGCAGCTATAGTTGGATACTCAGCCTACACATACAGTTAAAGTCAAAATACACCAACATTTATGCTGACTTCCACAAGAAAAGGGGGAAAATATGGAATGAGCACGTACCTTGGAAATATTACGAACCCTCAACCTTTGCAGAATCTCTACAAATTGAGTGCAGGACAAAAGGGCTTGCAGTGCAGCATTAAGGAAACATAAATTCCCTGAGTTGATCAAGCCTCGAGGTAGCAAGTCACCCATGTACAGGGGCACATCAGACACATCTAAATCTCCAGAATGAGTTGTCGTTGTGAAACTAATGATCCCATTTGAATGTTCTCCACTTGAGCCCACATTAATGTTTGTTGCTTCATGGATCTCACCGTTGACTTTATTTTTGTTCTCAACAATGCACAAACTGGAAATATTGACATTCTCGACCAGTTGAGATACTTTATGACTATTTTTGATAGGAATTCCTTCATTTTTCTGAACCCCAGAAAAGACATTGGTTTCTGGATTTACATCACTGGCTTTCTCTTCAGTGAGAGTGATACAAGAATCTTGTCGTTTTGAGAAATCTGGTTGTGTGGTGGGCGTGCTATTGAAACTTCCAAAAGAAATTACTGAGGCAGGTTTTGATGAATCATCATGTGATACTTTCTCCTCAAAAGACTTCGTTTTATTATTTGCAAGTGACTGTGTCAACCAGGATTTGGTTTCATCTTCACTAAAGGAACCAAATAAAACCATCTGCAAGGGGAATTCACTTAAACATGAATAGAGATGCAGAAATTAGCAAAACAGATTGATGGCACTATAATGCCATCATCATTAACCCAGTGCCGCAAAGGCTCCCACCTGTGCTGGGGTAAGGGGGTGGCACTACAATGTCCAAACAAAAAAAAGGTGAAAATACAGTGAATAAGTACTCACCCAATAGCCCCAACAATAGGCTTAAAATCACATCTATAATAGATCATGTTGATAATGATAAACTAGTAGCATAAAAGTTCCAAAGCAATAAGAAACGAAAAGCAAATAAAAGGAACATGGAATAACTACTCACTAAAAATGCAACTAAATTCATGTTGAAATAAATTAGAGCCAAACACTAACATCTCTAAAGGTGAATAGTTAATAGATATTGAGAGAGAGACGTGAAGACAGAGTCTGAATTCAATATTTCACTGCCTAGAGTCCAAAATACAGTCCCATAACATAGTTAAATGTACTCCCTCAATCCCTCTAAACTTTGCATACTTCCTTATTTGGATGTGTCAAAAACTTCGCCACTTTCCCAAAAATAACAATTTTGTGAGCGCAAACCTCCACAACTTTTACATTCTTATTCAACTTGGCAGTCAAACATGGCCAAGTTTAGTGGGGCAGGAAGTTATACTTTCTTGATGAAAACCAAAGTATGAGAAGCTGATACTTTTCTCCAAAATTTATAAATAGTCAGCAATCTTTGTACTGATGCTATATGCCAGCAATATGTTTATTTCATTATATACTATATAGTCACACTGATATTCTTGGATTTTGCAATGCTTTTTATGTTGCAAAACTCCTAGTATGAAGTTTAAACTCTAAATTAAGGAAAACGATATTTCTAAAGGACTACTGGAGTTTTCGTGTTTCTAAACACTGACACTAGTTCTTCAAATTGTTAACATAAATTATTTACCAAAAATGGTAGCAATCTTGTAATCACTATTCCCTGGTAGAGCAATACCACCTGTTTTAATTAGAACTAAGAGGGCTATGCATCCCAAATGTATAATCTTTTTGCTTCAAAACTTTTCAAAGTCCATAAAAAGCTTGTAAAAATTTATAAGTATATGCCACAGCCCCACAAAGGAATTAAATTATCAATAGCACATAAAATCAAGTACATAAGATGTAAAAAGATGAGTCAAAAGAATGATCTTTTTTCTCAGTAACTGACACAATCGGCAATAAAGAAGAGAATAGGCATGTCCACGAGTACCAAAATCAAACAGTTTGAGTGTACTCTGTACTCACACTAGAATCATTCATTTTTGGAAGAAAGATGGAGTATTGAACTGAAAATATAGGCACTTCGATAACAATGATCAGCTGAGTAAGACGTATTCATATAAAACTGGTGGAGAACTAAGGGTTGTATCTGCAAAGGAGGCCTTGTTGTAGAGCCTGTGCGGTCAATAGAAGACATGAACAGACGAGACAGAGACGAGCGAGGTGATGAGCAGATGTTGGGGGATCGCAGAGTTTCTTGGCTAACAATCCGATTACCAATCGAAGCATCAGCTGAGCAGTCCAATCCTGAGTTGATGTTGGCGGTGCAAGAATTATACTGAGTTGATGTTCTTGGTGTACTTTTTGATAAAATCTTTGAGCGTGTTATCCGATTGTGGTATATAAAATTTAAGCTCAAAATTCAATACAAAAATTAGTTAAATAAGGGTGCGTTCGGTATCGTTTCTGTTTTTCCATTTCTGTTTTTTTTCTTAGAAAAAAAACAGAAACATGTTTGGTAAAAAGTTGTTTTTGTTTTCAAAATCATAATCTTTGTAAGTGTTTTTAGAAAACGAAAACATATTTCTGAAATCAACAAAACATAGTTTCTATAAATTTGTTATCATTTATCTTCAATATCCAACTACCGGGACACAACCGGCCACCACCGGACCACCACCGGCCACCACCGGACCACCACCGGACACCACCAGCCACCACCGGACCACCACCGACCACCAACGGCCACCAACGGACCACCACCGGACCACCACCTGACCACCACTGGCCACCACCGGACCACCACCAGCCACCACTGGACCACCACCGGACCACCACCGGACCACCACCGGACCACCACCGGCCACCACCGGACCACCACCGGACACCACCAGCCACCACCGGACCACCACCGACCACCAACGGCCACCAACGGACCACCACCGGACCACCACCTGACCACCACCGGCCACCACCGGACCACCACCAGCCACCACTGGACCACCACCGGACCACCACCGACCACCACCGGACCACCACCGGCCACCACCGGACCACCATCGGCCACCATCGGACCACCATCGGACCACCACCGGACCACCACCGGCCACAACCGGACCACCATCGAACCACCACCGAACCACCATCGGACCACCACCGGACCACTACCGGCCACCACCGGACCACCAGTCCACCACCGAACCACCAGACTATCATGGACTACGAAAATAATTACTCCGTATTTATTTCTTGGAATGACAAAATTGAAAATGAATTAGCACTAAAACAAAACGATTTCAAAAAACTGAGAATAGACAACTAAAAACAGTTTTTTGTTTTTTAAAAACCAAAAATAGAAAACTCAAAACCATACCGAACGAGCCCTAAATTATTGAAATACAGAGTATGTTTAATGATTATGAACCATCTTTATGTTGGCGATTTTAGTGTCATCGGCCATTTTGTGTAATTGGAAATGACATGAATGTCAATGAGGATTAGAACCGTGTTCTAGTACAAGCTAGGAGGTGTGGAGTGCACACTTGTATATAAGAACGAGTTCTATTCCAAAGTGTCTACGTCAGTGGAACTCGAGGTAGAACACTCAGTAGACCAACTATGTGGTTCTAGACCGAGGTCTAGAGCGATTGGGCAGTTTCGTGCAGTTTTTCCAAAAACTGTCACAGTTATTCCAGAACGTGTTGCAACTGCCCAGGACGTGTAATATGGTTATATATCACCATATTTCGTACAGAGAATGAGGAAGAAACATATCCAACATATCTTCATGATTTTTGGCATTCAATTTAAGATATCAATCCATATACTCACTAGTTTGGCTCTAGTTCTTGTGCCTAAGTTCTGGAGTGTCCTTAAGATTATCCTAGATTGAATTTCTTGTAACCCAGACATAGGGGAGAAATATCAATTCGGAAAGTGAACTTACACGATCCTTAAGCAATCCAAGTACTCGATTATCACCCCCTACATGATTTACCCCAACAATCGAATTGATATTTCTTTGTGATAATCATGAGTACCGTGGAAGAGATGACATCCAAGTTCAACAAATTGGACAAGTTTCAAGGGAACGATTTCCGTAGATGGAAAAAGAAGATGCACTTCCTCCTCACCACTTTGAAGGTTGTGTACGTGTTGAGCACTCCGATGCCGGAAGTGATGGAGGACGAAACCTTGGAACAAACTAGGAGGCGTAACAAGTTGGAGAACGATGACTACATATGTAGAGGTCACATTCTTAACGGTATGTCCGATGCGTTATTTGATATTTACCAAAACGTTGAGAGTGCGAAGGAATTGTGGAATTCTCTTGAGTCAAAATACATCGCCGAAGATGCTTCTAGTAAGAAGTTCTTGGTGAGTGATTTTAATAATTATAAAATGGTTGAAACAAGGTCGGTTATGGAACAATACAATGAACTCCTTCGTGTTCTTAGTCGATTTAAACTCCACAAGATAGGTATTGATGAATCCTTTGTCGTGTCGAGTATAATTGACAAACTTTCGCCCTCTTGGAAGGATTTTAAACGTAATTTAAAACATCAAGATGAGGAATTGTCATTGGTTCAACTTGGGAGTCACTTGCACATTGAGGAGTCTCTTCGTGCGCAAGAGAATGACCAAATTATGGTGAAGTTGAATCTAGACTGGCTCATGTTCACTTGGTTGAGGATAATAAATCTAACTCGAAAGAAAGGGGAAAGGTAAAAAGCGCAAGTATGAAGACCATGACAAATCCAACAAGAAACCGAAAGGTTTGGTTTATTGGAGGTGTCAAAAGGTTGGACATGTCAAGCGTGATTGCCGTGTGAAACTGAACAAGAATGGCGTTGGAACGAGTGGCAGTGGACAGGAAGGGTCTAAGGACCTGGTTCCACGGAAAGGAGGTCAGTTCCTGACTAACTTTGATAATTCTGTCCAGAATTATGTATCACTCATTCCATAATCTTTTTATGTACAGGATGATGACTGTGCATGGTGGATTGACTCGGGGGCTACGAGCCATGTGTGTAAGGATAAAGGATGGTTTGAAGGCCTAGAACCAGTGGAGGTCGGTTCCTTTTTACGCATGGGAGACGAGTCAATGGTGCCTATCTTGGGAAAGGGTGTAGTTGTTTTAGAATTCACTTCTGGAAAACAATTACGTTGTTTGATGTTTTGTTTGTACTGAAGGTTCGAAAGAATCTTATTTCGGGAAGTATGTTGAATAATTTAGGGTTCAAACAAGTGATTGAATCTGATAAATATATTCTGTCCAAGAGTGGTGTGTTTGTTGGTTTTGGATATTTATCAAATCGCATGTTTCGTTTGAATGTTGTCAATAAATTATTTTCTAGTGATAATTCTGTTTTGTGGCATCTTCCATGAATGATTGTATGATTTGGCATGCTAGATTAGCTCACGTTAATTTTAGAAAATTGCATGAAACGTCTAAAGATGGTTTAATTTCGTCTTTTGATATTAATGATGATAAGTGTAGGACGTGCATGCTTACTAAGATCACAAAACAACCGTTTCCTAATGTTGAAAGGAATTCGGCTATTTTGGATCTTGTACATAGTGATCTATGTGATTTTCACTCAACTCCTTCCTTTGGCAATAAAAAGTATGTTATTACTTTTATTGAGGATTCAACTCGGTTTTGTTATGTGTATTTATTACACACTAAGGATGAAGCTTTAGAGAAATTTAAAGTGTATAAAACCGAGGTTGAATTGCAATTGGGTAATCCGATTAAATGTCCTAGGACTGATCGGGGAGGAGAATATATGGATCCCCATTATTTTCAATATGTTGGAATCATTCATGAGACCACATCTCCGTATACAGCACAACAAAATGGTGTGGCTAAACACAAAAATCAAGTGTTAAAGGAAATGGTTAATTCCATGCTTTCCTACTCGGGTTTGAGTGAAGGGTTTTGGGGAGAGGCCATGCTCACAGTCTGCTATGTTCTAAATAGGGTTCCAAAGAAACGGAACAAGACAACCCCATATGAGCTTTGGTACAAAAAAGCACCAAATTTGAAATATTTTCGGGTATGGGGTTGTAGGGTAGTTGTAAAATTGTCGGAGCCCAAAAGTAAAACTTTGGGGGAAAGGGAAATTGATTGCATATTCATAGGGTATGCTGAACATTCCAAGGCTTATAGGTTTTATGTAATAGAACCTAATGATGCGGTAGCGGTTAACACCGTGTTTGAGTCTCGGGATGTGATCTTTGATGAGATGAGATTTTCATCAATTCAAAGACCAACGGAACTAGTTCCAAGAACTAATGAGGTGCAAGTTCCAGAATGTTTGGATGGTTCTTTGAATCCCGAAGTATCACAAATAAGGAAAAGCAAACGAGGTCGCATCGTGAAAGACTTTGGTCCCGATTTTCACTTGTATATAGTGGAAGGTTCAAGGGATGAAGTGGGGGGTACAATATTCATATTGTTACCAATTTGAGGATGATCCAAAGTCCTTTAAAGAGACAATGGAGTCCTGAGATGTTTCCTTTTGGAAGGAGGCAATTGATGATGAAATGTCATCAATTATGGAGAACAACACTCGGGTGTTGTCGGATTTGCCACCGGGTTCTAAACCCTTAGGTTGCAAATGGATCTTCAAAAAGAAGATGAAAGTGGATGGAACTGTTGACAGGTTCAAGGCTCGGTTGGTCATTCAAGGTTTTAGACAAAAACCCGGAATTGACTATTTTGATACGTATGCGCCGGTTGCTCGAATTACAACCATTAGGTTGTTAATTGCTTTGGCGGCTATACACAATCTGATTATACATCAGATGGATGTCAAGACGGCATTTTTAAATGGTGATCTTGATGAGGAAGTTTACAAGAAACAACCGGAAGGTTTTGTTATGCCGGGAAATGAGCATAAGGTTTGTAAACTTGTCAAATCATTGTATGGGCTGAAACAAGCACCCAAACAATGGCATCAAAAGTTTGATGAAGTTATTTTGTCCAATGGTTTTAGTTTAAACCAATCGGACGAATGTGTCTATAGCCGATTTGATCCCGTAGGGGCGGGTGTGATCATATGCCTCTATGTTGATGACATGCTGATTTTTGGAACTGACCAAAATCAGGTTGATGAAACCAAAAGGTTGTTATCATCAAGGTTTTCCATGAAGGACATGGGGGAGGCGGATGTGATCCTTGGTATAAGGATTAAATAGGTACACAAAGGGATTGCTTTGACACAAGCTCACTATGTTGAGAATATTCTCAAAAGGTTTAATTATAGTGATTGTTCACCCGTTGGTACTCTCATGGATCCTAGTGTGAAGTTGATGCCTAATAAAGGAAAGGTGGTTTCACAACTTGAGTACTCTCAAGCTATTGGTAG